ATTTGAAAAGACCCTGATGCTGGGAAAGATTGAGGGCAGGAGGAGAAGGGGATGGCAGAGGATGAGATGCTTGGATGGCATCACCGACTCAATGGACATGAGTTTGGGTAAACTCCGGGAGTTGGTGATGAACAGGGAGGCTTGGCGTGCTGCAGTTCATGGGGTCGCAAAGAGCTGGACACGACTGAGCGACTGAATTGAACTGAACTGAACTGAATGTGTACTCAGCCCAAGTCAGATGTTCAGCCTTGTCACCAGTGGCCTCTCTAGGCAAGACTCCTTCCCACACGAGGGCTGCTTTCCCTTGAGTCCAGATCTTTACAGATACATACTCCTTTAAATTGACTCTAGATCATGTCTCTTTCTTCTCATTGCAGCAAAGAAAGCTCACACGGCTTCCCTGGTTGTTCCTCCTGGAGAAATAGCTGGATTTGATGTTGTTTTCCACCCCAAGAAAGTCGGGAGAATGGCAGGCATCCTTCACTTGTCAGTGATCAACAACCAGTACGAGGATACAGTCATCCACATGGTGGGAGAGGGCTATGAGGATGACATCACCTTGGACAACATCCATGGGCTGGTGGCTACCTCCAGCCCTGAGTCCTCAGATGTCTCTGAGGTCATTGAGGAAAGCACCATGGAAGACTTGGTGTCAGGTGAGAGAAGCAGCAATGAGGTGTTGACAACTGTTGGCCCTCGGGTCATTTTTATTATTTTATTTTTCAAGATTTTTTTTTTTTTATGTGGACTATTTTTAAAGTCTATATTGAATTTTTTACAGCATTGCCTCTGTTTTATTTTTTGACCATGAGGTGTGTGGGATCTTAGTTCCCTGACCAGGCATTGAACCCTCAACCCCTACATTGAAAGGCGAAGTCTCAACCACTGGACCACCAAGGAAGTCCCTCTTGGGTCATTTTAAATAAGAATGAAATTTAAATAACAGATTGGCTAGCTTCCTGGGAGTTTAGATGGCATCTCCTCCTTGTTACTGTTTGCTCCCTCACGCCTGGTTGAGTCACTGCATCCTCCCTGTGTTCCCTCAAGGAGCATTTGTTGAGCATCAGTGTACATGTGCCTGGAGTTCTAGAGAGTCATTAATAAGGGAGTCTGCCCCATAGGGAGCTTTTTATTTGAGCTCAGATTCCAATTTAGTTAGTTAATAAGTGAAATTTAAATTCCAGATTAGCCAAGAAGTGAATACATGTCTCTCTGGAGTTTTCCCTGTCTGTATTTTTGAGCTGGCTTGCGTTGTTATTGTCTGTTTCATCTGTATCATGTGCCCTAGACATTCTAAAGGAAATGGTCAGCTGGTTGAGTTAGAGAACGTGTAAGTTTGTGCTTCCACTAGACTGTTCCCTGCAGCCTCACTACTAAACACGCTGTCAGAACCTACAACATCAGCATCACCTGGGAGTCACTAGAAATGGGAGTTTCAGGCCCACCCCAGCACCTCAGACCTACTGAATGAGAATTTGCAGTTTAACAAGATCCCTTGGTGATCTGTGTGTGTATTAGAGCTGAAGACGTGCTGCTCTGCAGTCTGTCAGGCACCACTGCTGCATTTGGTTAACTGTATTCATTGGGCAGGAGAAAACGTACTTCATCATTATTATCGAAAAGCATTTGTTAAAACCGTGATTGTGTGGCTGACTGCTGTGCAGTGAATTATAAACATAGTCTCGTGGTTTTTCTAGGAGCTTAATTCCAGTCCCAGAATGTAGCTTCAGGCAGTCCCTACAGCATGGGTTAAAATCGGTGCTCCTCATGTATCTGGTGTTTTTACCTCTATTTGCAGCTACAGGGTGGCATCTCTCTTATCAGGGGTCAAGAAGGAGCCAGCCATGAACCCTAGTTCAGAAATCAGATTCCATTTACTTCTAATAGGGTTACCAGGTTTGGAAAATCAGAATACAGCAGTCCCCATTAAATTTGAATTTTAGATATTAAACTTGAATTTTTGGTAAACCATATATAACTTTTAGTATATTTATGTCCCCAAATTTTGCCCCAGACATTACTTATACTAAAAATTACTCATCATTTATTTGTAATTCAAATTCAGTGGGGACTCCTGCAGTCTGTGTGGCAGTTCCAAGCCTTAATAATACTGTTTCAGCAAACAAATGGAGTTGAAGGGGTGGTTATGTTTTCCTTTGCACAGATGGAGGTGAGGGCCAGGATGGGTGGGTGGATGGATGGATGGTAAATAGATGCTCCTGTAGGAGAGAAAGCGTGCTGCCAAAGGACTCCAGGTGTTTCCAGGATGACCATCCGAGGAGGGTAGGGTTGCATGAGGGTGAGGTACAGTGTCTTTCAAGTGCTGGCTCCTTGGGGGAAGCGAGCCTGCAGAAAAGACAAGGGGGGACTCACTGCCCCCTGCTTCTGTCCCCTAGCTGCTCTAGTGAATCACATCCAGTTTGGGGACTGCCACATTGGAACCAGCTATAATGTGAGCTTCACCATCACTAATCACAGCCAAGCAAATGTGATACGGTTTGAATGGCCGCTTTTGGCTACTGTTTCTTTCTCCCCACAGGTAAGTGAAAGACTGTCCTTGTTTTCCACACTCCCTTAGGCCTGCCCCAACCCTGACTTGGCTGTTGACCCATCCCACAGATACGTGGGATGGAGTGGATGTGTCCCTCACTCACACTTGGTACCAGAAGCGTCCCCTCTGGCCTAAGAAAAGAGAGTGAGGTCGGTCAAGTCTATGGCTAGGCCAATGTTGAGAAATTCCATGGAGATCTCCATGGATGAAGACAGGCTCCAATCTTTCCATCCCTGAGTATAGACCTGTGTCACCCTCGGTGTGTATTCTTTTGAGTGTTCCTCCTGCAAAAGTGGTTCATCAAAAGTTAAAATGGGGGTGGTGGGTTTTGTGGACAATGGCGATTTAGAAGATATTACAAGTTGCATCTTTCTCCCAAAGATTCTCAGTCTCCTTCAGCATATTAAAACATAGTCAACTTTGTTCTACCTGGAATTTTCTGTCCCCTTTTTTTAGCATCTCACAGCACACAGTTTATGGATTGCTGACCAAAGCTCGACATTGAATAAAGCCTAGGACAACATTGCAGCAGAGCCTCCCCTCTGGCCAGCACTTGCTCTTTTATTTTTTGGCCTTGCTGCACAGCTTGTGGGATCTTAGTTCCCTAACCAGGGATCAAACCCACACCCTCAGCAGTGAAAGTGTGGAGTGCTAACCACTGGACCACCAGGGAGTTCCCCAGCACTTGCTTTTCATAGACAGTTCACTTCTGAGTTCTCAGGACTATGCATGTATCTGTGGCCTCCTGCTCTGTTTCCACCACCAAGTCTATTCAAGCACAGCAATCTAGGAGGATGGAGGAGAGTTGGGGACCCTACTTTATCACTTTAAATATTAGTGCACTATCAGGAAGAAGTGCTTTGCTTCCTGGAAAGATGTAAAGTGGTAGTCAAAGTAGGCAGAATTAGCTTCTCATGATCCATTTACAGACCCAGGCACACACACACAGTCATGGCCTTGGGAAGTATTAGCGCTTTCTTCTCCCTTCACTTCCCAGAGGAGAAAGAGTTTTTAATTTATTAGAAACATGAGAAAACTACATATATAGGACAGAGGATGAGATGGCTGGAGATGGCATCAGCAACTCGATGGACATGGGTTTGGGTAGACTCCGGGAGTTGGTAATGGACAGAGAGGCCTGGCGTGCTGCGATTCACAGGGTCGCAACAAGCTGGACACAACTGAGCGACTGAACTGAACTGATATTTAGTATACGTTTGGATATATGTATGTGCGTTTATGTATGCTAAAGCACAAGTAATTTTATTCTACAGACCAAATCGGATTTCCTATATATCTGGAATACTTCAGGAAATCTCAGGCTTTTTGGTATCAGCCCTCCTTTATACTCTTAAACATTATTGAAGACCCTCAAAGAGCTATTGTTTACATGGGTTATGTCTATCATATTAGAAGTTACAACCGAGAATCTTTAAAAATATATATTTAGTCACTTAAAATATAATAACAAGCCTATTACATGTTAATATGAATGCTATATTTTTTGAAAATGGCTTTATTTTCGAAACATTATGTGAGAAGAGTGACATTGTTTTACATTTTTACAAGACCCTTTAGTATCTGGCCTAGTAGAAAATAACTGGATTCTTGTATTTGCTTCTGCATTCTGTCTGATGCAGTATCGTAGTTCATGTGATATGTAGGAAGAGAAGAGAGTGTATACTCTTGTCTCTGAGTATACAATGGAGAGTATTCCATTGTATACTCATGAGAAAATGAGAATGAAAAAGTCAAATGTCATCTTACTATTATGATGAAAATAGTGTTAACCTTGTGGACTCCTGAAAAGGTCTCAGGGCCCCCAAGGGTCATTAGATCACACTTGACAACTGCTAAGGTACTGTATACATCTGTCCATAATTTGTATGGATCATATGATTAAGAAGTACAGATGGTTAAGAGTATGGTATCTGGCACCATCCAACCTGGATCTGAATCCAGATATTCTAATATTAATGGTATGACCTTGAGCAACTTACCAGTTTCCTTGCCTATAAAATAGGGGTTATAACTGCACATCTATAGGGTTGTCATGGAGGTTCATAGAATTTTATAAAGGTTTAGAATAGTACCTGAAGCATGTAACAGTTTGATAATACTAGTTCCTCATGTTTTGTTTTTATTTCTCATAGTATTTCATTGTATGAATATTTTTTAATTGGAATATAATTGCAGTGTTGTATTAATTTCTGCTGTACAATGAAGTGACTCAGCTATATATATACTTATATCCCCTCCCTCTTGAGTTTCCCTCCCACCCTACCATCCCACCCCTCTTAAGTCATCACAGAGCACTCGGCTGAGCTCTCTGTGCTATATAGCTAGCTGCTCTTGCTTTTATGATTCTATTTCTAAGAACCTCATGTACATATTTAAGATGATCTACATATATGGTCTTGAATGATGCATTTTTCCCAGAACTTTGGCTTTACCCCTAGAATGGCACCATCAGGCATGAAGAGTCCTCAAGATTGAATTCCCCCAAATACTAATACAAGGCTCTTCCACAGATGGGCCACCTCCACCCTGGCTGTGCCAAGGACATAGTGGTGACCATGAAGTCAGACGTGCCCATCAACCTGAAGAAGATGGGGGTCAAGTGCAAGATCTCCAAGATCATGTTTGCGCTCCCTGCAGACCAAGTGCCTGACTGGGATGACCGCATGCGGACTGTCAAGTGGATGGACGTGCCCAAAAACACTCCCGGGACTTTCACTACAAAACGAAAAGTGAGTAGGAGCACCAAGCCCCTAGTCTGACCAGGCCCGCCATGCTGTCATGTTCAGTGTCTCATCATGTCGCTCTTTCATGGAAAAAAGAAACAGTCCCCATTCACCTGACCTGGGTTTCCAAAGTGGCAAATGAACTTCCAAGCATGCCTCCTGCCATCCTCACCACACATACCACACAAACCACTCAGCTTCATTGGCAGAGCTTGCCTGTAAGTCTCGGTATCTAGTTTCTAGTTGAGCAAGTCCCCCTGCCTTTTTCTTTTTCAGAAACCTCACAAGTAGTCTTTTAGCTGCTTCCTTTTCCCCTCAGTGTCCAGAGTTGTGTTAATCTCTTGTTTGGTCCATGCATGCCACTCCTTTAATTATTCCTTAGTTGGTTTCTTTTTAATAAAATAATAGACAGAGATGAACCCACACCCAACACAGGAAGTATAACCAGGATTACCTGTGTGCTTCTCAGCCATTCCCTCCCACCAACCGAGAGGTGGTCACTATCCCAGGATCTTGTTTGCTCATTCCCTTGATATTTGTTTTTAGTTCTTTTTTAAATTAACCTACGTGTTCTAAAAGGCATATTGTTTCAGTGTGGTTTTGAACTATTTTTTTATAGGTTGTGATGTGTGGTCATCTGTGTTACTGCATTTGGATGTAGCGCACCCATGTCACTGCTGTGTAAATTATTATTCACCCATCCTTCTTTTGAAAATCACTTGAGGTTTGCTACCGTGGACAGTATTTCTGTGAGCATTATAGTTCATGTCACATGGTGTTCATTTGCAAGAGTTTATATTCCTAAACTGAGTCACGGGAAGTGGAAGTGCTGAGCCATAGGGTGTGTGAAAGCTCAGCTTTCCAAGATAATGTCCAAGTGTTTCCACAGAAGCTCTCTGCTAGCAGGAGTATAAATTGGTACAGCATACTTTGGACAACACAGGCATTATCTTGGAAAAACATGATGCTAGTTATTTTAGTTTTGATAAGCTCTTTTGTTCCTAGATTTGTCTGCAAATATCCTCACTGTATTTATCACTTATCTTTTCACTTTCTTTATTGTATCTTTTCCATAATAATATGGATTATCTCCATATTGTTTTGTTCTGAAGTATTTTGATTATTCTTGGCCCTTTATTTTTCTAAATAATTTTTGAATCCATTTAAACAAGTACTATGAAAACCCAGATGGAAACCTGATTGGAATTGGATTGTATCTATAAATCAGTTTAAGAAAAATTTATCATTTTATAACATTAATTCATCAAGGTATATCTCTCTTTAGGCCTTTTTAAAGATTTTTTTTGGCTACTGCTCAGTTTCTTTAATAGTAATAAGACTCTTTAGGGTTTTTTAAATTTGTTTTTGAGTCCTTTTCTTAATATTTGTTTATTTGGCTGCATTGGGTCTTAGCTGCATCACACAGACTCTTTGTTATGGGATCTGTCGTTGCACTGTGAGGGCTTCTCTCTAGTTGTGGTGCATAGGCTTTAGTTGCCTGTGACATGTGGGACCTTAATTCCCTGACCAGTGATAGAACCTGCATCCCCTGCATTGCAGGGCGGATTCTTAACCACTGGGCCACCAGGGAAGTCCCTTGAGTCTGTTATTAAATCATTTTTCTAGGAATTTTCCCTTCAACTAAGCTTTCATATGTACCTTCATAAAATTATTCATAATATTTTTTATCATGTTTAAATATCTGTAGGGTAGACAGTGATGTCTCCTTTTTCATTTGATATTTGTTATTTTTATTCTTTCTTTTATTCTTCTTGATCATTCTCACCAGAGTTTTTCTAAATCTTTTCATATAAACAGCTTTTGGTTTCACTGATCCTCTCTGTTTTAGATTTATTTTGTTTTATTAATATCTGTTCCTGTCTTTATGATTTCTTTTATTTTTTTCAACCTTTTTTGGAGTGTATCTGACCCCAAAACTCATGCCTGTGTGGTCGTGATGCTCTCAGTAATTCCGTGTTATTCAATTTCTTCCTTTCCCATTTATGAGTCATTTTAGATTTGACCTTATCAGGTATCCTGGAACTTGGGTTTGTGGGCTGGTGCTCACTTGCTGGGTAGGATGAAGCACTGTCTCATCTCCCCGTCATTCCCGTGAAGCAGGTGGCTCTGCATCACTGAGGACATGGCTGTCTTTGTTGCAGGTGATAGAGACTGATCCCGAGCCGGCTTACTCAGTCCTAGAAGAAAACTATCGAGAACTGCAGCTGCAAATCAGTGCCCACGTGAATTTCGCCTCATACAAGTGCCAGACTACTGATGTGCACTTTAAGGAAACACTGGTTTACCAGACTCGAGTGTTTGAGTGAGTCATCAGAAGCCTCCTGACACTCTTAGAGCAGTCCTTTCGTTCCATCATTCACTCACGCAAACATTTATTCAGTGTCCATGACAGCACAGACCAGACATAACATCTGTGTAGCATGCACCAGAGGGTCTTCGTAGGTCCAAAGAAACACTCAGACCCACGAAACTATTCAAGTTCACACTTGAAATCAAGATGTAGACTTGATTCAGCTTCAGTGGGAACAGTCCTTGGAATGGTCCATATCACCACCCAACAACTATTCTTACTGCCCAACCCTCTGCCCCAAGTGACAGCTCAGACAGTATCCATGTTGGTGGGTATAGGGTTCATCTTAGCTTGGAAGGCTGTGACCAACAGAAGCCAACATTTCTCACAAGCACTCCAGGCTATAACTTCCAGGATTCCTGCAAGGGACCTGCCCAGTTACAAGAGTCTCTATGCTCAGAGAACCCCAGTGCTATGGCTTCCCTCCAGGTATCATGATTTCTCCCAGCTCCAAAGCAAGTTAGCAATCAGGGGTCATTTTTACTGTAAACAAAGTTGTCTGATAATATAGATGATATTTCTCATTCATCAGGCTGCCACGGACACAGAACTCAAAAACTAATTCAAAGTCAAAACTGTACTTAGAAGGAGAAGGGGTTATGTTAACCCTTTATTCACTCTCAGTTGGTACAGTGATGCATGGGTCCTGCTCTCAAAGAGCTCATAGTGGATGTTGGGGGAATGGATACAGTCCAATGCTCTGGGTTTGTAGTAAGCGTCCCCAAAGCAGACCAAGATACGGGGAGAGACAGGTGTCTGGGAGGCCTTCCCAAAGTGGTGGACCAGCTGAACTTCGGAAGACAAATAAGAGGTGGCCAGGTGAAGAAGTGAGAAAAAGGGCCTTCAGGCAGAGAGGAGGCCTGTGACTCTTCTTTGAGAATTACAAACACAAAAGTGTAAACCACTGACATTTATACTTTTTAAAAATTGGTAATTAGTTGTTCAACTCATTCTGCACTTGTGGCCCTTAATGTGTCCTCTCAAATTATTATAGAACCAAAAGCGCTAGGAGACAGGAAATGGGATCTTCTGCTGGTGGCCATTTCACCTACAGTAAGGGTCGCCACACTCTGGCCCATGATCCAAACTCAACAGCGGCTTATTTTTGTAGATACGGTTATGCTGTATAGTTACAAGAGTCTCTACGCTCAGAGAACCCCAGTGCTATGGCTTCCCTCCAGGTATCATGATTTCTCCCAGCTCCAAAGCAAGTTAGCAATCAGGGGTCATTTTTACTGTAAACAAAGTTGTCTGATAATATAGATGATATTTCTCATTCATCAGGCTGCCACGGACACAGAACTCAAAAACTAATTCAAAGTCAAAACTGTACTTAGAAGGAGAAGGGGTTATGTTAACCCTTTATTCACTCTCAGTTGGTACAGTGATGCATGGGTCCTGCTCTCAAAGAGCTCATAGTGGATGTTGGGGGAATGGATACAGTCCAATGCTCTGGGTTTGTAGTAAGCGTCCCCAAAGCAGACCAAGATACGGGGAGAGACAGGTGTCTGGGAGGCCTTCCCAAAGTGGTGGACCAGCTGAACTTCGGAAGACAAATAAGAGGTGGCCAGGTGAAGAAGTGAGAAAAAGGGCCTTCAGGCAGAGAGGAGGCCTGTGACTCTTCTTTGAGAATTACAAACACAAAAGTGTAAACCACTGACATTTATACTTTTTAAAAATTGGTAATTAGTTGTTCAACTCATTCTGCACTTGTGGCCCTTAATGTGTCCTCTCAAATTATTATAGAACCAAAAGCGCTAGGAGACAGGAAATGGGATCTTCTGCTGGTGGCCATTTCACCTACAGTAAGGGTCGCCACACTCTGGCCCATGATCCAAACTCAACAGCGGCTTATTTTTGTAGATACGGTTATGCTGTATGTTGTGTGGGCACACAGTCATGCTCATTTATCTACTATCATCCAAGGCTGCTTCCACAGCAAAGGGAGTAGCTACTGCAGAGACCTCTGGCTCATGATGCCCAAAACCTTACTGTCTGACCCTTTTCAGGAACATTTGTTCACCCCTGGGCCTAAACCAAGAGTGCTTCTACTGGAAGTATCCTGTGCCACTGAGATTTCTCCCCTTCATAAAAATTTGCTTTAGCCGAAAGACCAGTGCTCATAAATTCACATAGTTCATAAATTCACACAAGCCCCTAAGGCCAAAACACTGGACTTCACGCACAACTGCATAGTCTACCTGGAATGGATATAGGGAATCTGATCCTTAAACCCCTCCCTTGGACCTATTCCCCCTGCCCCCAAGTCTCAGCTCCCACTTCTCCCCTAAAACTGGGAAGCATGTGTGTGTTTTTTCTCTCGCTTGTACAACCGTTTTCTTGAATAACCCTCTTTCTGTGACTGTCTGTGATCACATTTAACAGTGAGTCCAGAAAAAGCTTCTGTCTCCCAGTTCTTAACCACAGAGCAGGAAAACTTGAGGCAAGATGAGGATCCGTTAATTCAGAATCTGAGACAAGTCAGTATCTCAGCCAGTGAAGACACTTCAGGCAGAGGTCAAATGATTTCTGACCACGAGGACATTGTTTCAGGGAGAAAGTGATTTGGGAAGGGAGAGGCCTTGGAGTTTGCACCCAAGGGAGATGCTATCTTCTGAATGGGTTTCGTTTCCTCTCCCATGGGAATTTTTCAGGATCACCATGATGCAGGCTGAGAGCTCAAGGCACAGTATGCCAGGGATATACAAGACAACTGAAGTGCTAAACATCTGGATGCTTTTGCTTTTAATAGCTATGTATATATTTTTGTGTTTTAAAAGGAACTATAATTTGAAATCACATGCTTGATTTCAAATAAAATTGCCTTTGAAGAAACATTTGGGAAACAAAGTAACTTGACTTTAAAAAAAAAGTTAATGGTACAGATGATGTACAGACAGGACAAAAACCGTCTTCAGCGTGTTTCTCACATCCATTCCCTGATCTGTTTGCAGGTTTGAACTGATTAATTCAGGAAATGTGCAACTGGAATTCAACTGGATCTCAGAAGAGACAGCAAAAGCTGTCAGCTTTGCCATGCCAGACAACCAAGGTAAATGAGGTGACAGGTAAAACCCAGGGCTTGAGCTGGGTCCCCAGTTAGTAGAAGAGCCTGGTTCATGGAGAAGCAAGCACTGCTCCAGCCGCCCTCTTGGTGGCGAAGAAGCAGACCAGGGGCCCCCTAGCATCTGCAGAGCCAAAGGGGCCCAAGAAACTCCAGAATTGAATTCTGCCTCCCTAGGCCCCACAAGGCTGGTACCCCCTCTCACAGATCCCCCGGAGTCTTTTCTTTTAAATCTCAACCTTCTGGAAATCACAGACTCTTGGAGAAGCTGATGAGAGCTACGAGCTGACTTCCCAGCAAAACACACACCCATGCCCAATTTGCAGTTGGTACATGTGAAGAGAACCCAACCCTTGGTGGGCAAAGTGGGCAAACCACTACTCTTTCAGTTTGGAGATTCCCAGACCTTTCCAATGAACTCTTTTTCATGGACCCCCCAGATTTTGAACCCCTGCTTTAAAGCAATGATTCTCCAAAAAATTATTTCACAGCCCATTACTCTTAAGGCAGATGACCCACAGATGTCTACTTGACCCATACCCTTGAGTAAAAAGGAAAAACACTTGAAAACCTGATGTAATTAAAAGAAGTATTTTTCATGAATCTCCTATGAGACACAGCTAATTCCTCACCCCTGGGGCCCAAAGTTAAGTATACCGGCTAGGAGAGGTGAGCCCACAGACCCCATAGAGGGTGCCTAAGGACCCATACAAGTGGGCTGCTGTCACCGCCCTCCCACTGCAGATTAAGAACATCACTGGCACTCTTATCTGCCCCCAGGTTTCTCCCAAAGAGACCAGCTTAGCCAGGGCACGCCGCACACGGCCAGCACAGTGGACAGTGCCGTGGACCACTGGAATGAAACTTCCCTGCCGACAGACAGGACAAAAACCGTCTTCAGCGTGTTTCTCACATCCATTCCCTGATCTGTTTGCAGGTTTGAACTGATTAATTCAGGAAATGTGCAACTGGAATTCAACTGGATCTCAGAAGAGACAGCAAAAGCTGTCAGCTTTGCCATGCCAGACAACCAAGGTAAATGAGGTGACAGGTAAAACCCAGGGCTTGAGCTGGGTCCCCAGTTAGTAGAAGAGCCTGGTTCATGGAGAAGCAAGCACTGCTCCAGCCGCCCTCTTGGTGGCGAAGAAGCAGACCAGGGGCCCCCTAGCATCTGCAGAGCCAAAGGGGCCCAAGAAACTCCAGAATTGAATTCTGCCTCCCTAGGCCCCACAAGGCTGGTACCCCCTCTCACAGATCCCCCGGAGTCTTTTCTTTTAAATCTCAACCTTCTGGAAATCACAGACTCTTGGAGAAGCTGATGAGAGCTACGAGCTGACTTCCCAGCAAAACACACACCCATGCCCAATTTGCAGTTGGTACATGTGAAGAGAACCCAACCCTTGGTGGGCAAAGTGGGCAAACCACTACTCTTTCAGTTTGGAGATTCCCAGACCTTTCCAATGAACTCTTTTTCATGGACCCCCCAGATTTTGAACCCCTGCTTTAAAGCAATGATTCTCCAAAAAATTATTTCACAGCCCATTACTCTTAAGGCAGATGACCCACAGATGTCTACTTGACCCATACCCTTGAGTAAAAAGGAAAAACACTTGAAAACCTGATGTAATTAAAAGAAGTATTTTTCATGAATCTCCTATGAGACACAGCTAATTCCTCACCCCTGGGGCCCAAAGTTAAGTATACCGGCTAGGAGAGGTGAGCCCACAGACCCCATAGAGGGTGCCTAAGGACCCATACAAGTGGGCTGCTGTCACCGCCCTCCCACTGCAGATTAAGAACATCACTGGCACTCTTATCTGCCCCCAGGTTTCTCCCAAAGAGACCAGCTTAGCCAGGGCACGCCACACACGGCCAGCACAGTGGACAGTGCCGTGGACCACTGGAACGAAACTTCCCTGCCGCCCTTCTGTGTGGAGCCCATCTCGGGCACCGTGCTAGTGGGGAAGACTCAGAAGCTCAAAGTGAAATTCTCCCCATTGGAAGTTGGAGACTTCGAGAGCAATCTTTTCTGCCAGTAAGGAGACGCACTCCTAACCCCTCTTCTGTCCCACCACGACCACCGTTCTTTCACTCCAGCCCCATATGGAGCCCCGCACTACCACATTTCCCTCTGGAGAACAAGAGGAGTCTGGTCTTTTGTACTGTTCATCAACCCTCTGTAGACCCTGCCTCCTGTCCACCTCCCCTTCCCGGTCACACACAGGATCCCACTGGGGCAACAGAATGGTGGGCAGCCAGCTGGGTTCCAGTCTTGGGGCAAGCATGGCCTTAGGAAAGCTCTCTTTTACCTTTTCTGAGGCCCAGTTTCCTCCTATGTAAAATGCAAATAACAGTACCCACTCTGTAGAGTTGTTGTGAAAACTCAATGACCTCATTCAAGTGAAGAGCTTAGAACAGTGCCTAGCACACAATAAGTACGGCTAAACATCAGGTGGTAGTGGTGATGGAGGAGGTGGACCTGGAACATAGTAAGAGAGGAGCAGATGGAGTCCAGGTCCAGTCAGAGGAGAGCCGACCCATTAATATCTGGCAGTGAAAGTCCCTGAAAGCTCCACGGAGGACACCCACCTTAGAGGAAGTCTGTGACCCGTGGCGTGGGGTGGCAGAGACCTATGTGAACCGTGAGACCTGTGGAAAACCTGCCGTCACACTGCAGGGGCCCTTCCCACACCTGGGCCACCTGAGCTCGCTGCTGGGGATAGAGGTCTGCTCACATCGTGTTCACTTTCTCCGAGGAGCTCAGGGTAGTTTTTTGTTTTGTTTTGTTTTCTTAAGGATGCCTGGGTCCTTTTTTGTATCCCATTAGATGTCCATGAAAGAGCACAGAGGGAAAGACTCTGTGCTGACGTTATAGCAGGGAGACTTTCTCACCATTGGTAAAGGTAGTAACTTAGGCAAGCTGTTGTTCAGTCACTCAGTCATGTCCAACTCTTTGCAACCCCATGGACTGCAGCACGCCAGGCCTCCCTGTCCTTCACCATCTCCTGGAGCTTGCTCAAACTCATGTCCATTGAGTCGGTGATGCCATCCAACCATCTCGTCCTCTTCTCCTCCTGCCTTCAATCTTTCCCAGCAGCAGGGTCTTTTCTGAGGCACCCAGAAGGAACCAGAATTCAGGCTCCCCATACTCAGCCCATGCATGTATTTATCCCTGTCACGATTAATTAATGAATACCTACTATGTATCATGTACTCCTCAAGGCACTGAGGTTACATTGTCAACCAGACAGACCCATTCTCTGTGCTCATGGAGCTCACATTCTGGTCGGTGTCATATTCATTTCCAACCACGAAAGCAAGAACTTATTAAAGAGTTAAAAATAGATAAAAATAACCTTATTCTCTCAGGATTCCTAACCTGCCACCGGGAGAGCATGGCCCAGTCCTGTCAGCCAAAGGGCGGAGCTCCCTGCCCATCTGCCATTTTGACCTGAAAGACTCAGACTACATCGTCGGTCATCGGCGCAACCCAGACCTCCGAGGGCCTAGTGGTGGGGCTCTGGATCCAAACACCCGGGTGATTGAGTTCACCAGCGTGGGCATAGGAGGGAAGAATCTCCGGTGAGTGGTGTGGGTTTGCACTAGTTGAGTTCATATCAGTTCGTCTTTCTGAAAACCCAGAGGAAGAAATTCAGGGTACCAAGCTAGACTGACACCTCGAAGCACGCTTGCTATCCTAGGGGTTGACTTTAGTGAATTGCTGCAGTGAGGAAGCGGATTTCTGTCTCCTTAGTTTTGACACTCAGGAAATTTGAAAGACACAAAACATGATCCCTGAACACCACCTAGACCACAGAGGATCACTGAGACAGAAGGGCCCTTGGTGGTGGTGTTACTCCGAAGTCCAGAACGAGAGCCACACTTGGGACCCCTAAGTGAGATACCGTTTTTGTTTCTATAGTTACAAAGTGGCCAAAACAGTTCTGATCCCCGCACAAGGGGCCTGTGCTCGGGAACAGCCTAGAGAAGTTTCTCTTAATCCTCAAGCCCCTCTCTCACTCTCTGCTGTCGTTCCTTCCCCTTGGGCAGGACCTTTACAATCCTAAACCCGACCTGTAGTGCCTACTCCTTCTCCTGGCTCTCTGAAGAAATTGAAAGTCTCCAGAATCCTCCAGCCTTCACGTGCCTTACAGAAAAGGGCCTCCTCCTCCCTGGAAAGAAAGCTGAGGTATGTGTGAACGGGGACCACGCGACCCAGGGCTTTACTCATCCCACCCCCTCTGCAGGGCAGCCTGCTGCAAAGCGTGGGTGGAGTTAGGGAGAACAGCTGGAGAGTGTGTCCATCAACACGTTTCTTGGGTGGTTACTGTGTGTTAGCCAGTCCTCATGAACGGGACAAACCTCAGCCGTCTTGGTTGGCCATAGAGAAACAAAGAGCTCTAGTGTTTGAAGTTTTAAAAATTGATATTTTAAAAGCAAGGAAAAGAGAGTTGGACACCAGTGCCTGGGGACTCTAGGACTCACACAATAGCAAGGAGCCGAGTTGTTTTTGTCCAGGGACTGACAGCCGTGCAAGAACAGAGATGTATCTTTGCTTGGTCGGGCCAAAGGGCAAAACAGAAAAGCAGAGTCATGCCCCATGGTTTAATCCTAATGTCCACACAGTGATTTAGGGTAGAGGGTCAGATTTAAAGAAATACAAACTTGCTGGCCAAAGCAGCTCTGTGGGCCCCGTGTCCTGTAAATTCTACAGAGAATATTGGGGGCAGAAATAAATCCATGAAACAAACATTACGAATTGAGATGCCTTCAGAAAGATTGTAAAAATGGAGAGCACAGGCCAGGGGTCAATGACAGGGAATGGTGGGCACAAGGGTCGGCTGGCCACAGTGCTTCTCTGGGGACAAATCACCACACCGAGCAGTGAGCCCAGGGTTGCCAGTTCTCCCGAACTTTTCAGGAAAATTCCAGATTCTACCTGAATCTTTCCATTTTTACATGCCATCCCGAGACGTGGCAGCCTAGCCTGCAGAGCCTTAGAAATAGAAATGAGCAGGGCAGAAGCCCGTAGAAATACTTGGTGGGCTGGGCAAACAGACATGGATGTTACTGGTACAGCCAAACTCACATGCCCTTACAAAGACAAGGGAAAGGAAGTGATGACCTGGTAATGTCACCCGGCACAACCCCAGGGCTGGCACGCCTTTAAGATACGTGGAGCAAACACATAGAAGTGCCTCTAACCACTGTGCTCCAAACTGTCTTCTTAGGTTATCTTCCAGTTCACACCTTCCCATCTGGACATCTCGGAGGCATTCTGGACTTTCTTAATCCCTGAACACAATATCATAGTCCCTTTCCTGCTGGTAGGCAAAGCCACTGACCCTCTCATCAATTTTGACAAGTCACATATCAACTTCAGTTGTCTCCTCATTGGTAAGGCTGCCCCGCTGGTTTATATTTTAGAGTTGGCATGACCTGTGGGGGAGGGGTGTTCCCCCTAGCAGAGGAATTCTTTCTTCCTGGTATCTTCTAGAAGTGTGTCAGAGGGCCTCATTTTGCTATTCACAGGGCCACAGAATATTTAACCTCTCAATCTAATTTCCATCAAGTGTCTTCTAAACCCACACACTAATAACCTAAGAACATTGAGGAAGCTTGCTGCAGAGCCTCCTCGGAAGATTCCTTTGGGGTCTGGATTGACTAGTTTATCCCCAGAGCCCCATATTAGCCCCATCCTACTTGCATGTGCCCCCAGACTGTGGGCCACAGTGGTCACATTCCTCTGACATCCTTTCTCACTCTTGCCCCGTTCAACAAATATTGTTGAGCTCCTCATGTGAGCCAGGCACTCTTCTGTGAGCTGGGAATGCAGTGGACAAAGCCCATGTCCCGATCTTCATGATGGTTGCATTCTAGTAGCAAGAAGCAGGCTACCACAGAATGGAAAGGTGAAATATGTAGCATGTCAGGTGTGGATAAGTGTTCCAAAGAATAAAATAGGGTGGGGGGAAAAGGAGTGCCAGCGGACAGTGGGAACGTGACATTTGAGCAGAAACTTGAAATAAAGGAAGTGATGGGCAAGTCCCCTATAACACTGTGACTCTATCACATGGATGTGATGTTTTGTGTATGTGTGTGTGTGAGAGAAATACAACTGAAGTCAGAGGATTTGTTTTAGTAATTCGTTAGACTAGTTATAAAAGTAGCATTCTTTATAAGTCAACCAGTGTGGTGTTGTATAAGGAAAAATATAATAATCACTCCCTACCTCCCTCATTTTTCCCTTTCCATCAGAGGAAACCAGTGTGAACAGTATGATGTGTATTATTTCCATACATTTCTTACATTGATACATATAATAGATAGGAGGAGATTGTGGCATTTAATCAGGTTTTGAGCAAGTAAGTGGGCAATGTAGCGTAAGAATAACAACAAGACAATTTAATCTAGGAATGCAGTGATGGTGCATTTCAATGTAATTATTACATCATCAGATTAAAGAAGAACCAGGTATTGGCGTATACCAAAGAATCATTCCTAAAAATTCAGCAGACATTCTCAACAAAAACTCTAGTAGTAAAATAGGAATAGAGGGGAAAAACTTGAATAAAGATTAACCAAAATCAAAAGGCAAATATTATCTGATAATAAACCACTGAAGTTACTTCAATTAGAGTCAGGAATTTGGTCATTGTCACTGTCATTATTGGACACTTTGTTAGTGACTTTAGCAAGTACAATAAAATAAGAAAATTAAATAATTGGCATAAACATTGGGAATAAAAGAGACAAAATTGTCTCATTTATGGTATTGCTAATGATGCCATACATAGATAAGCTCAAGAGACTCTAGAGAAAAGCAAAACAAACTTCTAGCATCAGCAGGATAATTTAGGAAGTAGATGTTTGCAAGTTGTTTGCGAAAGTCAATGGTTTCTCTTTCTTTTAGCAATAAGCACAAACAGAAACAAACAGAAAATTTCGTTAAATACTGATAAGACCTATATAATAGCCAAGGATAAATGTCACAAGAAAAGCACAGGACCTATATGAATAAAACTATAAAATCTTATTGAAATGCCTGCAAGCAAAATCTGAACATTTGTCCATTCTCCCAAAAATTAAATTCAAATTTAATCAAGTTCTAAATAAAATCCCAGCTATTTCTAAATAAAATCCCAGCTATTGTTGTCTGATAAAACACAGGATGCACAGTTTAATTTGAATGTCAGATAACAAGGAATGATTGTTTAGTATAAGTATATCCCATGCAATATGTGGGACATACTTATACTATAAAAATTGTTTGCTAAACTTGACAGTCTTAGTCCTAAAGGATTGAGGTGAGGGCAGAATTTGGTAAAATGATTCTAAAGTTTATGTGGAAAAATAAATGCTCCACAGTAGTCAAGGAAAGGAAGAAAAAGCAAACTAGTGATGAGATATGTTAGGCAGGGCCCTGTCAGGACATCCGTGACACATCTGAAGTCTAATTCAAAAGAGTCCGCTGCACAGATGATTCACGGATACGGGCAGAGCGGAGGGGCCTACCTACCCCCGTTAACAAAAGCAGGAAGGCGTTGAGTCTAGAGGAGCAAGAAGGATCCCAGGAGAGCTACAGCCCAGGCTGAGTGGCCACCTACGAGGAGCAGACAGTTGATGGGCTATAGTTCTAGAAGGAAGAGCTGGAGCGCCTTGAGAGGAAGAACACTCGTAGAGTGAAAAGAGGAAGAGGGGTAGCCACAGGCTCGGGAGCGTGGGAGAGGGCCGAAAAGAAGCTGGAGACTGCCTCCTGAGCAGGCCTCTCCCGCCTGCCGAGGCACGCCGGAGCAGGCACGGGGCCCCTCTGAGGGTGGCGTTTCCTCCTCAGGCAGAGAAGCCAGGGAGACTGTGAAGCTCATCAACAAGGAGGAGCAGGGGCTCCATTTTGCCTTCCAGGACGCCTCCCGGTATTCTGAAGGCTTCAGCAACAGCCTGGCTGTGTGTCCCATGGAAGGCTGGGTCCCCCCACTGTCCAGGTAAACCGAAAGGAAGCCCCCAGGACTGCCCTTGCCCAATATGGCAGGGGTCCCAGGCTGACGGGCCAGGAGAATCAGGTTCCTTTAGAGTGCCCCATCTCTGAAGTCTCTCCCAACTCTAAGATTTGGAGCTTCCCAGGTGAAGCTAATGGTAAAGAACCCACTTGCCAGTGTAGGAGACATAAGAGAGGTGGGTTTGATCCCTGGGTCGGGAAGATGCCCTGGAGGAGGGCATGGCAGCCCTTTCCAGTATCCTTGCCTGGAGAATCCCATAGACAGAGGAGCCTGGTGGGCTACAGTCCATAGCGTCACAAAGAGTCAGATACTACTGAAGCATCTTAGCAGAGTGCCCCATCTCTGAAGTCTCTGCCAACTCTAAAATTGAGATATTACAGTTTCATCTCTGTCCTGCTTATCCCGTTAGTAATTTTCATCATGAGTCGTAGAATACTGAGAACTTTAAGCACTTTTTCTCAGTATTTTATTATGCTTATATTCTTTTCCATACTATCCACTGTGTTTGCGAATCCCTAAAGCAGTAGCCTGCCACGCCTGGCAAACTTTCAGAATTCACCCTGATTTGGAGTTATGCTGCCTTCCCCTCCTAGTGCATGATGATCCATTGGGCTTATCTTCTTCAACTTCTTTAACAGATTGGTCTAGTTACCCAATCTGCTGTTGTCTTCCCCAACCAGGTTCCCAATTGATATTTTCTTCACACCAAAGAAAGAAGGAGATGTGAACTTTAATTTGATCTGCAGTGTGAAAAAGAAAGCCCACCCTCTGACCTTAAATGTCAAGGCTGAGGGCTACTCCGTGAACGTGGAGGTCAAATGCAAGGACAGGAACGGCTCCATCACTCTCCTGACTCCCACCCAGACCACCACTGTCAACTTCTGTGAGGTAAAGGTGTGAGAGGGCCCTGCTGTCTCTGCTTCCACACTGGCTGGGAAAAGCAGTACACGGGAGCATTAGATGAAGTTCTGTTTCAAATGCCAGGGAGATCAGAACAGAAATGTGCCAGCAGCAGCTTCATCCCCAGAATATGTATGGTTTTGATGTGAAAAGAAAGCTTTTCCCATGGTATGATAAGAAAGCTTTTCTTATTTTACTTTTCAGGGGGCAGAGAGATGGTAGGCAAGGGGAAGAATGCTCATCTTAAGCACACATGAAGGAGGTTTTGTTACCAAGTGAGCTCTGAGAATTCAGCTGTCGTCTTCCTCTTCAGAAGGAAGGGCTCCAGCACTTTGTAGCTCCTGCTGGATTCTGGCTGCATTGTGCTAATGATGCTCACTCAGCTCACTAACATCATGGGCTGTCACTGCTTCCCAAAGGGTGTTTCCCCCAACACGCTACATACCCTGACCCCAGAGAAGGGAACCATAGTTTGTACTCACTCAACATACAACTCTGTTCTCCTTCAGGTGGAATTGAATGAGTGTGTCCAGTGTGAATTCAGCTTTATCAACACTGGAAAGTTCAACTTCAGCTTCCAGGCAGAGCTGTCCGGCCCCAGATCCCTGCTACAGTACTTGGAGTTTTCACCCAATGATGGCAGTGTGGATGTGGGGCAGAGTGCACATGCCTCCCTGTCTTTCCAGCCATTAAAGAAATGTGTCTTGAAGGGTCTGGAACTCAAAATCAAGGTGAGGCATTTAACACTGTCCAACACTGAACGTGCTCACAGCATTCTGTCTTGAGAACTGTGTCCAATGTCCACCCTTAGCTACAAGGCAGGATGGGAAGTCAAGCATGTTTCCCAGGCAAGTTGGCAGCCCATCAGAGTCCTGCTAATGAGGAAGCCCCAGGGAGCAGATTTTGGGTGGGAACTGACAGGTCTCTGCACACCCCTCTGCCTTCGAGCTGAAGTATTCCTGCAATGATTCAAGAGCCAATATGGGGCCTGGTTGCAGAGTCGTCCACCTTGGTTTCCTTAAAGAAACTTAGAGCCTGTTAATCAGAATCTCTGTAGAGATTCTGCACATAGAGTCCTGGGACCTGAATTCTTTTAAAGCACCTGACTGCTTCCCTCCTTCTCCTGAGGGTGTAAGGGCCCTTTCCTCTCACTTCTCCCTGTCGTCTCCACTGGACATTCTCTCCCCCACAGATCAGCCATGGTCCAACATTTACGTGCACCATCTCAGGCTTTGCTGTGAGCCCAGCTGTCCATTTCTCCTTCACCAGCTACAACTTTGGCACCTGCTTCATCTACCAAGCTGGCATGCCCCCATACAAGCAAACCCTGATTGTCACCAACAAGGCAGAGACAGCTATGAGGTAAGCAGACTCCCCAGAACTTCCAGATGATTCTGCTACTCCTATGGGTTCTACAGCCTCTACACAGCTGAGGTCCTGCCAAGACAGAGAAAGGATTATGAGAGAGCCTCTAGCACAGGTGGGCATGAATCCTGAGTATCCTTTCCTCACTGCTAATACTGATATTTGGATAGCCATGAACTACTCTGCTAAAAAAGAAGACAAAATCCTCTTCTGGAAGTGAGGAGGACAATGCCAGATGACCCGACAAGAGGCTTGATGACTTGCATTTATTTTCCCCACGTAATAAATGTGGGGGAGAAGGCAATGGCAACCCACTCCAGTACTCTTGCCTGGAAAACCCCTTGGACGGAGGAGCCTGGTGGGCTGCGGTCCATGGGGTCACTGGGAGTCGGACACAACTGAGCGACTTCACTTTCACTTTTCACTTTCATGCATTGGAGAAGGAAATGGCAACCCACTCCAGTGTTCTTGCCTGGAGAATCCCAGGGACGGGGGAGCCTGATGGGCTGCCATCTATGGGGTCTCACAGAGTCGGACATGACTGAAGTGACTTAGCAGCAATAAATGTGGAAACTCAGATTTGGAGAGTTAAAAAGTTAATTTCTTGGGCCAGTGAACTTGCAGTAAAAGGCAGATCTATACTGAGCCTTAGCCCTCTGATTCAAATCCAGCCGCTCTGTACCATCCCTGTGTAGAGTGTTCCAATCCAGATTTCTGGGCCTTATTCCAGACCTAACAAAATGGAATCCCGAGAGACAGGCCCAGAGACCTGTGTTTATTAGTTCTCTAGATCAGTGCACTGCAACTGAACTGAAACTTCAGTTTCAGAAAAGTTGTCTTATCTGCAGTGTCCAATATGGCAGCCTGTAGCTCCATGTGGCTATGGAGCCCTTGAAATCTGCCTAATGCCACCAAGGAACAGGATTTTTTATTTTAATTAATTTTAATTTAATAACCACGTGTCTAGTGGCTACCATGTCAAATATCAAATAGCACAGTTATTCCCTAGCTATGTGACTTTGAGCAAATTTTTTTTGCTTTTTTTAAAAAATTAATTTTTATTGGAACATAGTTGTTTTACAGTGTTGTATTGGTTTCTGCCGTATAGCAAAGTAAATCAGCTGTATGTACATATACATCCCCTCTTTTTTGGATTTCCTTCCCATTCAGATCCCTGCATTTAATGTAGTTCCTTGTGCTATACAGAAGGTTCTCATTGGTTGTCTGGTTTATATATAGTAGTGGGTATATGTCAATCCCAATCTCCCAGTTCATCCCACCCACCCTTTCCTCCTCTGGTAGCCATACATTTGTTATCTACATCTGTGTCTCTATTTCCACTTTGCAAAAAAATGTTCATCAGTATCATGTTTCTAGATTCCACATATAATATATGATTTTTTTTCTCTTTCTGGATGACAGTCTCTAGGTCCATCCGCATTTCTGCAAAGGGCACAGTTTTGTTCCTTTTTACGACTGAGTAATATCCCATTGTGCTTGTGTACCACGTCTTCTTTACCCATTCCTCTGTGGATGGGCATTTAGGCTGCTTGCATGTCCTAGCTATTGTAAGTAGTGCTGCTATGAACGCTGGGGTGCTTGTGTCTATTTGTTTTTTTTTTTTTTAAAGTCCTTATTGAATTTTTCACAGTATTGCTTCTGTTTTATGTTTTGGTTTTTTGGCCATGAGACATGTGGAGTCTTAGCCCCCTGGCCACTATTGGAGTCTGCACCCCCTGCATTGGAAGGCGAAGTCTTAACCACTGGACTGCCAGGGAAGTCCCTATCTTTTTGAATTATGGTTTTCTCTGAATCTATGCATAGGAGTCATATGGTAGACCCATTTCTGGGTCATATGGGTAGTTCTATTTTTGGATTTTTAAGGAACCTCAATTCTGTTCTCCATAGTGGCTGTATAAATTTATATTGCCACCAACAGTGTAAGAGCTCCCTTTTCTCCACACCCTCTTCAGCATTTATTGTTAGTATTATTTTTTGATGATGGGTATTCTGACCAGTGTGAGGTGATATCTCATTGTAGTTTTGATTTGTATTTCTGTAATAATTAGTAATGTTGAACATCTTTCATGTGTTGTTGGCCATCTGTATGTCTTCTTTGGAGGAATATCTATTTAGGTCTTCCACCCATTTTTTGATTGGGTTGTGTTTTTTTGTTTTTGTTTTATATTGAACTGCATGAGCTGTTTGTATACTTTGGAGACTAATAATCCCTTGTCTGTTGCTTAATTTGTGAATATATTCTCCCATTCTGACGGTTGTCTTTTCATTTTATTTAGGGTTTCATTTACTGTGCAAGAGTTTTTAAGTTTAATTAGGTCCCATTTGTTTATTTTTGTTTTTATTTTCATTACTTTAGGAGGTGGGTCAAAAAAAGATCTTGCTGTGGTTCATGTCAAAGAGTGTTCTTCCTGTGTTTTCCTCTAAGAGTTTTATAGCATCCAGCCTTGCGTTTAGGTCTTTATAAACTCTCTGTGCCTCCATCTCCTTGTCTGAATTGGGGGATAATAATAGTACCTCCCCATGGGTTATTAGGAGGATTAATTTGTTCATTTAGAGAGAATACTTAGTACCTGGAAGATAGGAAATGCTCAGTTATTTTTATCTGCTGCTACTTCTGTGGCAGTGATACTGGTGGTGATGACGATTCTCCTGAATGTTACATTACAGGAGTGTCATGTAATTTTAAATACTAATTTAAAATCTTATCTGCCTATATTCCTTCTTGCCTAATTTAATTGAATCTGACTCTTACTTTGTTTCAGGCATTATACTCTATTTACTGCCTTAGCTAGAGTCCTTCTCTAAATACTTGGAAGACAGATGAGGAGGGATTGTGATGGAGGTCTAGGTGCTTCCCATTCACAGATGCAGGGGGGGTGGACGTGATCTTTGAAGGTCCCTTCTAGTTGAGCTATTGGTAATAATAATAACAGTAGCTCACCTTTAGGAATGTTTCCTCTGTGCCTTTAGTGGCTGATTTAGTCACTTTATCTCATTTAATCCTCACAGCAGCTTCATGAGGAAGAGATCACTACTCTCATTTTGCAGGTGAGGCAACAGGGACCCAGACAGGCTGAGTAACTGTTCTCGGGTCACGTGGAAGTTAGGGCTGGAGCCTGGATCCACACGCTTGTCTGACTCTGGACACATCCTCCTCCCCGCGTGCTTTCCCACCCAGTTACTCCAGGAAGCACACCCTTCTTCCAGGAAGCTGCCCCACCATGAGCTGCGTCATCAAGGAAGAGAGGGTGAAGAGAGTGAAAGGAACACTGGGTCAAAGGTCATGAGACTGCCTCTAAGGCCTGGTTCTGCCAAGGTCTCAGGCTGTGATCTGGGGGAGGTGACTCAGTTGTGCCCAGGAGACTGTAGGCTGGACCACTGCTGCAGTCCCTTCCAGCCCTGAAACCCCAACTCCGGGACAACACGGCAGGACATCCCGCAGTGGGTCCAGCTCAGAGAAGCAAGGGGCTCATTCCCTCTATGTCAGCCATTCGAGAGCTCACACAGCTTCCTTCCGATTTCCTCCAGCTTGGATTGTTTGTACACCAACACCAGCCACCTCGAGGTGAACTTCCGAGTCGATGTGATAAAGCCAGGAAAGACACTGGAGATCCCCATCACCTTTTATCCTCGAGAAACTATCAGTTATAGAGAACTCATCCCCTTTGAAATCAATGGGCTCTCCCAGCAAGTAGTTGAAATCAAAGGGAAAGGAACAGAAATGAAGGTAAGTGACAGCTGGGGGACTCATCGGGCTTGGCACCCCCACTTCTTGCCCTTCTCAGCCACCTTTGCCCACCTGAGCCCGAACTCCTCTGACTCCATGTCTCCTGCCCCCTAGCTGCTCTGTCAGAGGTCAGCCAGTCCCATCAAGACAGATCAGACCCAAGAGAATCACATAGATCTTGCCAATACCAAACGTTACTGTGTCAAAGGATACAAGTAACCACAGGCGCTGCAGAAACATTCTTTTTCTTGGAGAAGTTTGAGACTGTCAGATGCAGTCCTCTTCCTCCCACATGAGAGCATGTAGTGTTTTCAGGTTACAGTCAAGGTTTGTTTGAAGAACTGTATGCAGACATAAGTTTCAGTTATGGGACATCTTTCCCCAGGACCACATAGACTGACATTCTCCAGCAAGCCCCAACTCCCAGGATCCCATCTGACTGAGGCCCTTCCTTCTAACCAGGTGCTCCTGGCAGGAAGGGGATGGTCTGGTTCCACCGCTTATCCTTTCTTCCCAATATCCAGTATACATTTCATGTATCTGTCTGGTGGGAGTTTCCACATTTATTAGGCCGTTTTAGAAGAGTGAAGACATCCCACAATCCTTGGCAATGCATGGGACATTTCAGCAACCAAGAGGAAATGGGAGGGGTGTGTTCCTGGCATCCTTTCCATCAATCCAGGGGAGCAACAGGATCAGGCCACCTGGTGTGTCTGCGCCCAAGCCGGTGGCAGGGTCTCTTCTGGTGTCATGGTTTCTTTCATGTGTTCATTCATTCACTCACTCAGCACTCATTTATGTCAGGTGCTTTGTGGAAATCCAGAGGAGACGTAAACGTGTTCTCTGACCTCCAGGAGCTTACACGCTGGGGCCAGAGACTCTTACCTTTGTAGACAACATGGAAACCTGTGGGTGGGATGGAAAGATCCCATCTTTCCATTAGGGGAGGGGTGCTGTTTATTGACTGGTCAGGTGACAGTGACTGGTGAGTGCTGTTTATGTGGGTCACACCATCCCAGAGGGCAAGGCCTAGCCTGATCTCAGCCTGATGCAGGCCAGCATTTTGATCAGGGCTTTAGATGGGGGCTTTAAGGTGTATCTTCTTTTCCCACCTCCACTGCCATGGTTATCTCTCTCTTCAAGGCTCTGTCTCCTGCCCTCTTCCAGTCCCTCTGCACAGAGGAGCAAGCCAGGGCATACTCACAAGATACCCATCTGATGGGACCACTCCAGGCTGCACTGGCTTCCCACTTCTCCCAGAAAAAAACCTGATCCCCCTCCAAGCTATCTTCTCATGTTCCCCACCTCGCTCCCAGCCACAGGCCTGGCCAGGCCGCTCCCTCCAGCTCAGGGCCTTGCCACAGCTTCTCTCCTCCCTCGGGGTGCAGCCCCATGCCACCCTGACTTAAATCCAGATGCTACCCTTCCAGCAGCTCCCAGTGTGAGCATGCCTTCCTCAGGGAGGCCTCCCTCACCCTCAGACTGGCTCGACCCTTCGTACCCCGAGCCTTTCCTTCTTAACATCTCTGAACCCAGCTGTAAGTATGTAGTTGTACAAGTTGTTTAGTGCACATATTATGCACATAAATGTTTGTTGAGTGAGCGAAGGTGAAGGCCCGTCCAGTGTGAAGAATGAGAGACACGGGAAGAGAGGGAACCACCCTTGCCTCATTGGGGTACACGCACCGTATTTCTCTTTCTCATTAACTGCTGACCCCTCCCTCCCTGCTCTCTTTCTTGTCCACAGATTTTAGTCCTAGATCCAGCCAATAAGATTTTGAAGTTAGGAGCCATCCTACCTGGACAGGTGGTGAAAAAAATGGTTTCCATCATGAACAACAGCCAAGCCCAGCTCACATTTAACCTGTCAGTCATGTTCTCAGCGGAACTCCAGGAAACCAAGGTTGGTGATCAGGGTCCCAGTGGCATGTTCATGCCTCCGCACCTCACGGTTCTCAGGCAGCTTCTGTGTGCCAGGCCATTCCAAGTGCTGTCCATGTCTGATCACCTTCATAAAAACGGTATAGGGGTGCCCCTGTTATTCTCCTTTACATGTAGGGAAACCACAGCTTGGAGATGCTCTGCCTCTAGAGGGCGACAGTGACACAGAAGTGCCCTTGATAAGGACCCAGAAGATCTGGGCGCAAATGAATATATGTACATCTTCATGACAGAGAATTTGAAAAATATGGAAAATCACAAAGAAAAATATTTGGCCTATAATGTCATGCCCCGAAACAATCACTTGACATTATTGCTACCTTTCTTTCCCCTGCTTTTCCTACACATTTTAAAAATAAATTGCTTTCAGATTGTTGTGAAACATGCTTTTATCATCTACCAGTAACTCCTAAACATTCAGTTTCATTTGTTCATCTGTACCTTCATTATGTAGATGAACCAAGCCTCTATTTCTGCTCATTTCAGGTGTTCCTGGTTTTTTTTTTTAATTTATTTTATAAGCAACATTGTAATATCCATTTAAACAAAGCTTTCTGTGCACCCATGACTCTCTGCTGAGCGTATACTCCTAGAAGTGGGCTTCTTGGACCAAAAGGAAGAGTGTGTTTCATATACATCATTCTGCCCCCGAAAGGCTGTCCCTCTTTCCACTGGAGTCCTCTATGTGAGAGAAACATGCTTGTTGCTAAATCCGTGTCCTCGGGCTCTCTGCATAGGGAACCTACAGCCCTGGCTGCCCGCTTCCTCTCACAGTGTTTGGGTGTTCCTTTGAAATGGGACCAGATGTATTTCATCCTGAGGATGGACTGTATCCATTCCTTCATTCAGTTCATTCTTACATTTACTCAGTAATCCATCCTCGCAGCAGGACCTCAGAAATGGAGCTCCAGGAGTGCCCCACCCTCAGCTGCTGAGACTTGTCGTTTTGTCCAGGTCATCACCTTGTCACCATTCCGCAACATCACTATGAAGCCCAAAGAGGTCCGGAAGCTGGAAGTCACCTTCACCCCGCTAAAGCGTGTCCCTCCCTTCTCCGAGGAGGTGTTCATGGAGTGCATGGGGCTCCTGCGGCCCCTTTTCCTCATCAGCGGCTGCTGCCAGGCCCTGGAGATCTCCCTGGACCAGGAGCATCTTCCCTTTGGACCAGTCGTGTGTCAGACACAAGCCACGCGTCGCATCCTCATGTTGAACACGGGTGACGTGGGTGCAAGGTAGGAGAGCCCCCTGGGCCTGGATTCCCTGGGTGGTCCCCATGCCACAGGTGGAGGTAAGGCTCAAAGTGGTGCCCACCACAGGCGCCCGCCCAGTCACCGTTCAGCACGCTGCCACAGCCGTGCCTGCTGCACACCGCCGCCTTCAGGGGGCGCCCTGCACCCCGGCCTCCGGGGAGCAGTGCCCGGAAGCTGTGCTGTGGCAGCCCTGGCACTGGAAGCTCTGGTCTGCACCATCCTGCCTGGACCAAGGGCCGACCACAGAGGGGTGACCATGGAGCCAGCAGCTCCCGGGGCCACCAGGGTCAGGGGCAGCTCTCATGTGAAGGGATCGTCTCCACTCCCTGGATCAGACCCGAGAGGCAGTGCAGGGATCGGCCACGGCTACCAGCTCGGGAGGGTTCCAGTCCTGGCCTGACCACGTCCTAGCTGTGTGACCTCAGGCACCCACTGAAATGTGTTCAGGCACATGTCCCCCCAGTGGGTGTCCCTTGTGGACAGTAAGATAAGATGCACCACTTTCCACCCTTCTCAGCCCCTAGGGAGAGCGAAGAGAGTGCACCCAGGAATGACTTGGCCTTGGTCCCACACCCCAGCTTTTCCTGGCAGCCTTCCTTCTCCTAGGTCCCAGGAAGGGCAGGAGGGGATGAACCTCCCACCTGAAAACCAGACACAGTCTCTCTTCTCAGCTGCATTGAGGACACCACCGAGATAGTAACAAACTACTTTCTTGTCTCCTGTCTTGGAAAAGGTTCAAATGGGATGCTAGGAAACTTGAGCCTCCCTTTTCCATCAGCCCAGAGGAGGGCTATATCACCGCAGGCATGGAGGTTTCTTTCGAAGTGACTTACCATCCTACCGAGGTGGGCAAGGAGATTCTCCACAAAAAGTTGCTCTGCTTCATCCAGGGAGGCAGTCCTCTGAGCCTAACCCTGTCCGGAGTGTGCGTGGGACCACCTTCAGTAAAAGAGGTCAGTAGGTGCTGCCAACAGATGGGCCGGCGGTGGGGTGGCCCGGCAAGCCCCCCAAGAGAGCTCAGTCAGACTGTCCAAACGGTCCTCAGTGCCCACGTCAAACATGCAGACCTGCCCCCTCCGCCACAGGGCCTCTGCGCATGCTCTTCCCACTGCTGACACACTCCTTTCCCCCTCTCCATTTAGTTAATTCCTGTTTAGTCTTCAGCTCTCAACCCAGGCATCTTGTTCTAAAGGAAGGTTATACCGACATCTCTGGCTAGACCACATTCTGTCATAAGCTCTCTGAGTAAATGGTGACACCTGGGTTAACCTCTGCTCACCCTGTCGCTCGAAGCCCTAGTAGTGGACACCTGATAGTTCCTGGCAACACTGCTTACGGTCATAATGACACCTGATCTGCATCTCTTGCTATTTCAACAATGTTATGTACATGGAATCACGCCGTATGTTATAAAAGTGTATGTACAAGTCTTGGCAAGAATATATACTTTCATTTTCTTGGGTGAATATGTAAGAGTGAAATGGCTGGATCATAGGGTAGGTACATGTTTACCTTTTTAAGAACTTACCAAATTGTTTTCCAAAGTGGTTGTGTCATCTTACATCCCCATCAGCCACATCAGATGTTTCTACTTGCACCACATCCTTGCCAACGCTCAATATGGTCAGGTTTTTTAAAATTTTAGTCATTCTAATAGGTACATGATGATATCTTGTGGTTTTAAATTTGGATTTCCCTAATGACTAATGGTGTCAAGCATCTTTTCAGGTACTTCATTGCCATCCGTCTATCTTCTTTATTGAAGTATCTGTTCAAGTCATTTTTATTTGGGTTGTTTGTTTTCTTGTTTTACTGCATTTTGAGAGCTCTGTGTATATTCAGGACATAAGTTTTGAATTTATATCTTCAGTCTGTTTAGAGTTCATTTTTGTATATAGTGTAAGATTATGGATCAAAATTCAAAAAAGTCCATTTTTTGTACATGGATATCCAGTTGTTCCAGAACCATTTACTTAATAGATTATTGTTTCTCCACTGAATTGCCTTTGCACTTTGGTCAAAAACCAATTGATCATATATGTGTGGGTCTCTTGCTAAACTGTTCTCATCCCCTTGGTGAACTCTTTTGATTCCCTTTATACCAGCGCAACATTGTCCATGTTGCTAAATTTAATGGCTGGTTCTCACTGCTCATCTTACTTGGCTTGTCAATAGAATTTGAACACCTTGAACAAGCCCCTCCTCCTTCAAGCACTTCCTTCATTGTGTGACCTCCAGGTTACCACCTTCTCCTCGTTTTCAGTTTCCTGGCATGGTTGGAGGAAGGAGCTGTGGGAGAGAGAATGTTAGGACAAGGGGGGACCCTACAAATAATGTGGAAACCACAGGGAACTGTGTCCAAAGCTTATCAAGACCAAAGCTTCCCTTTTCATCCATATATTTTCATGTTGAGGGGCTTCTCTTGGAACCAGAGGCTCATCTCTGAAATGAAGTCCCAGATGAAGCATAAAGCAATTAACATTTAGTTTAAGTGCACAAATAACAACAAGGTGACTGTGATAAAGATTAAAAAAAGAAGCCACAATCTTCCACTCCCCTTACAAAAAAAGAACTGTCTTCTTCTGTCTTCTTTACCAATCCTCACTCAGACAGCCATGGCTGCCATCATCGCATCCTCAGTTTTGCATCCTGTTTACTTTCACTTACATCACATCATGAGCATGTGTCTGTTTAACTGTGTGATCTTCATGGTGATCATTTTTACTGATTGACTAATATTTCACTGAATGCCAGCTCCATAATTTATTTAACACCCTCAGTTGTTGGGATGTTTAAGTTATCTCTAAATTTTCATTAATAGAAGTGATTCCAATATACATGTGTATCCCCAACGGCTTAGTGGCAAAGAATCTGCCTGCAATGCAGGAGATGGAAAAGACTGGCTCGATCTCTGGGTTGGGAATGTCCCCTGGAGGAGGAAATGGCAACCCACTCCAATATCCCTGCTTGAAAAATCCCTTGGAGGGAGGAGCCTGGTGGGCTACAGTCCAAAGGGTCACGAAAAGTCAGTCACGACTGAGTGCGCAAGTTTACGTATAACTTTTTCCTCTGCAGGGATTTTTCCCTGGGATGAGATTCCTGGTTCAAATACACATGAACACGTTTATGACTCTTGGAAACATATTATGAAGCTGCTTTCCAAAAGTGTTAAACCTATTTGCGTACCTTCGTTAATCCTGTGTCGCTGCCATGCCTGAGAGGTAGCTGATAAAGGACCCTCTGTGTCACGCTCACCACGGTTGTTCTTCTCTTAGGGCACCCTCTTCTTCCCCCTCCCAGATGGGACTGGCTGGCTGTACCAGCTGCACGGGACTTCTGAGCTCCCCAAGGCTGTGGCCAATATCTACCGTGAAGTGCCATGTAAAACACCCTACACTGAGCTCCTGCCAATCACCAACTGGCTGAACAAGCCCCAGAGGTGAGAGAATAGGTGGGGGATGAAGAGGGGACGGAGGGAGGACCCACAGTGTCGAGCCTGGCCCTTTGTGCTGCTGCCAGGCATTGCCTGGCCTGCGCCCCACAGAGTGTCCTATCCAGGGCTATCTGTGAGCAGCTGATGCCTTATAAATCTCCTGGAAGTGTGCCAGGCACAAAATAAGTGCTCAATAAATGTTAGCTGTCATTATTATCAAAATGATAATTGTGGTGGTTATTATTGAAAGCCCTGTCTTATCACATCAGCCACTGGCCAGATCCTTGGATCTTGTATTTGCGGAGCGAAAAGGAGCTAGAGGAGCCGGAGGCCAGACGGGTCCCCTCTCTTGTGGAAAAGGAGCTAGAGGAGCCGGAGGCCAGACGGGGCCCCTCTCTTGTGGAAAAGGAGCTAGAGGAGCCGGAGGCCAGACGGGTCCCCTCTTTTGTGGAAAAGGAGCCAAAGGCTGGGAGGAGAGAGCTACCTGCTCTCTTAGTGGATAAAGGCCCAGGCCTGAGTCTGAATGCTAGTTCTGCCTGTAACTCGGCACTGCTACCTGAGCATGGCATCTTCCTTCTCTCCGCCTCAACTTCTTCCCTTGTAAAATAGAGAGGATAACGAGATGTACCTCCTACAGACACTGTGGCGACTAAAAGCTTGTAATGTGACCCATGTGGAGCAGGACTCAGTACCTGGCACATAATAAGCAGTTATTAAATGGTAGTTCCTGTTATTACTAGTGACAGTGTGGAGGCTAGAACCCTGGATCCACATGCTTTCTGTGAAATCAAGAGTGGACAAGGTAACTTGCCTTCTTTCCTTTGGGAAAACTGTCTCATTTCGTCCTCTCTTCTTGCACCCCTGTGTTCCCCCAGATTCCGGGTCATTGTGGAAATATTGAAACCAGAGAAGCCTGACCTGAGTGTCACCTTAAAGGGCCTTGATTACATTGATGTGCTGTCCTCCTCCAAGAAAGATTACAAGCTGAACTTCTTCTCCTACAAGGAGGGACTATACACAGCAAAGGTATCCACACACTAAAGGCATTGCCCTGGGACCCTGGAGGTTTGGCCCTGACGTTGATGATCCTGGTGTTGGGAGGGAAGATATACCCTCCCTTATCCTGCGAGACTGACCATTTAGAGGGACCAGACCCTTTAAGATAAAACTAGATAGTCAGCTAACATGTAGGTCCATACCAAGCCCTCAAGGTGGCAGAATCATGAAAATCCTGAAGCAGTAGGTAACACTGGGCATCAGACACCAGACCACAATAATAAGAGTGAAAAGATCCCTTTTCTGAGGGTTTAGAGAGCGCCCAGCATCAGGCTGAGCCCTTGACACAGCTAGTGACGTCAGAGCCAGGATTCATCTCAGAGCCAGTGACTCCAGGACTCCACAGGGTCCTTCACGCATGAACTGTTTTTCCTGACTCATTCATCAGTTCAGCAAGCATCTCTTGAGCACATGTACCATATGCTATACTACATGCTGATAACTTAGCAGTGACCAAAAATAGGCACAGTCTCTGTTCTTCTGGAACACGCAGTCCAGGGGAGGAGATGAGCATGCATCATGTGATTGCACTCTGAATGGGTCACTTCAAAAGGGCGTAAGTGCGTTGAGGAAAAGGAGTACATGGTTCAGTGGTTCAGTGAGAGGTCAGGGCTGAAGAGAACTTACAGGAATTATCCACCTACAGATAGTGCTTGACACCAAGATGGAGAATGGAATCACCTAGGGAAAGATTTTATAGCAAAAAAAAAAATAGCACATGAGCACAAAGAAATGGCAAGAATGAAAGGAAATGATGACAAGTACTGGCAAGGGTGTGGAGAAAATGGATTTTCATGTGTCGCTCGCTGGTGGGAGTGAAATAGTGAAGCTACTTTGGAAGACAGTCTGGCAGCTCCTCAAATGGATAAACAGAGTTACCATAGAATTCAGCAATTTCTTCCCAAAATAAGTGAAAACATATGTCCACACAAAAGCCTATATATAAACGTTCATAGCAGCATTATTCATAAGAGCTAAAAAATGGAAACAACCTAAATTTCCATCAACTGGTGAACAGAGAAATACAATGGAATATTATTTGGCAACAAAAAGTGACAGGAACTGAGTACTGATACAGGCAACACTGAAGTGAACCCTGCAAACATTACACTATGTGAACAAAGCCAGTCACAAGTGGCTACATATTGTATGATTTTTTTATATGAAATTTCCAGAATAGGGAAGTCTATAGGAACAAAAAGTAGCCTAGCGGTGCCTAGGACTGGAGGGGATGGGTTAGGGGGACATGGGAATGATTGTTACTGGATAAAGGGGTTCTTTTGAGGGTGACGAAGGTGAGTGGTGATGGTTGGTGTGAATATACTGAAAAAGCACTAGACCGTGCTGCTCTCGCCTCTTCTAAAGCAACCCAGGTTCCTCCATGCTTGCTCACCTGGAAGGAGCCAGAGCAGAACACCTGAAGAGAAGGGCTGGGTGGCGGGGTTCACATAGGCGAGGGCCCATATCAGCCTGGGCCCCATGCTTCACATGCCCAGGCATTGCTGATGGCGAGAAGGATCCTGTTGATGGTGGAAGACCCCGAACTAACTCCTCTGCCCCACTCCACTTCCTCCCACTCTCTCTGTGAATCCAGGTGATCTTCCGAAACGAGGTGACCAACGAGTTCTTATACTACACGTTGAGTTTCAGGGTCATCCCTTCAGGCGTCATCAAAACCATCGAGATGGTGAGCCCCGTCCGGCAGAGCACCTCGGCCTCCATCAAGCTGGAAAACCCCCTGCCCTACATGGTGACCTTCTCCACGGAATGCAGGATGCCCGACATCAGCCTGCCCTCCCAGTTCGTGGTGCCGGCCAACTCTGAGGTATGGCCCTGCCTGGGGGGGCTCCCCACTGGATATCTGTGATGGAGACTCTGCCCGGGGGGCCTCTGGACCCACTTCTGCATCCTTGAGTTGGGGCAGCCTGGCAGTGGTCAGGAAGGCAGAGGACGACCGATCCATCATGGTCCTGTTCTCTCCTTTGCCCTGCTGCCCATGTCCTGATATAAACCAGGGCCACATAGAGCTTTGGCTCAGGCATGTTAAAGGAATTAATTTATTAGCCACTGGGGCTTCCCTGGTAGCTCAGACAGTAAAAATCTGCCCTCATTTCAGGAGACCCAGGTTATATCCCTGGGTCAGGAAGATACCCTGGAGAAGGAAATGACAACCCACTCCAGTACTCTTGCCTGGAGAATTCCATGGACAGAGGAGCCTGGTGGGCTACAGTCCATGGGGTCGCAGAGAGTCAGACACGACCGAGCAAGTAATACTAGCTGTCTCTATTACATGTTTGTTTGTCCTGCTCAATTTAAATTATTTTTCTTACTTTTCCTAATTATATAAGTCACATGGAATATATGTAGTGAAAGGGACAGCAAGGGATATGTAATAGTGTTGCTGAATCAGTTGATAATAGTTTTATTAGATGTTTTGTATATATGCTCAGTAAGGAAACTGGCATCCAGTTTTCCTTTCTTCTATTAGCCTTGTTGGAGTCTGCTGTCAGACTATGCTCATTGAGGTAGGTTTCCTCCTATTCTTTTCTATGGGAGAATTTGTGGAGTATTAGATGGGTAAAAAGAAAGCTTTGTGATCCTGGAATTTTGTTAAGGGAAATTTTTTTTTTTACTATTGATTAAATATCTTTAATGGTTATAGGGCTATATGGGTTTTCTTTATCTTTTTGAGTCTGTTGTGGTAAGTTATATTTGTTTACACATTTGTCCATTTTCATCTAAATTTTTTAACTGTGGTAAAATCATGTAATTTTTAACACTGCATTTTTTTTCTGTTAAACATCTACAACAACTTTAACGACATCCTCTTTATTTTTCAGTAAGACCCAGTTTTTTTTAAGAAACAATATCTGTTCATGACAAAAAGACTATTTTATCTCTATAACAGTACATGAAACAGAAAATAAAAGTCCTGGGACTTCCTGGCGGTCCAGTGGTTAAGACTCTGTGCTTCCACTGCAGGGACCACAGGTACAATCCCTGGTCAGGGAACTAAGATGCTACATGCCACTTGGCATGGTCAAAAAAAAAAAAGAATAGAAAAGTCCCCAAAATCTCATTTCCCTCACCCTAAGACAATTACTGGTAACAGTTCAATATAGCCTTGATGTGTCTTTTCTATACATATGTAGACATATTCCTCTCCACAACAATGAACTCACATATATTTCTGGAATCTTCTTTTTTCCACTTAAAATATTATTACCACCTTTTATTTCAATGATTAGAGCTTTGGCGCTTCCTTTTTAATGGCTGCATAATATTCCACAGAAGTAAGTATAATTTAATTATCCAGTCTTTTACTGCTAACACATTGGAATTATTGCCCTTATTTTGCTTTTATAAGCAATACTCTTTGGTTCTTGTTTTGTTTTGCTTTGGATGACAATAGAGGAAGCAGAATGCCTCCCCCAAATGATGGTAGAACCCCAGAAGCTGGCTGGAGATTATCCACGAGCAGAGAAGGAGCTGCCTAACCTTTAGCCCTCCTGCTCCCTCAGCCCACCCACTCCTGTCTCTGTAATTACACTTCTCAAGAGAGGATCCAGTACCTATTTTTATATTCAGAGAGATTCCAGATACAGAAATACCCCGATTAGGGAAAAATTTCAGGGAGGAAAAGTGGGCTGGTTTGGACAGAGGTTCCCCAGGCTCAGATCAGTGTGAGTATCTACCGCCAACCTGCTCTGAGGTCCCCAGAGGGGCAGAGGAGAGGCGGACATTCAGCATCACAGGAGCCTCTGTCTTCTCTTGCAGGGAACGTTCACATTTGAATTCCAGCCCCTGAAAGCTGGAGAAGCCTTCGGGAAACTGACACTGCACAACAGTGACCTGGGTTACTACCCATATGAGCTCAATTTGAAAGCCTTGCCAGCACTGCCTGAAAAGCCTGTCCACTTCCAGACTGTTCTTGGCAGCGGCCAGAGCATCTTTGCCAAGTTCACCAATTACACTCGGCAGAAGACAGAATACTACTGCAGGGTAAGCAGCCCTGGCCCCACCCTCTGCCCTTCACTTTCCAGAAGTTTGGGCTCAGAAATAATGGGAGGAGGACACTGGGGTGCAGAAATAGGAAACTCATACTCAGGGCCTTCATCTAGTTGAAAACTCCCAGCTAGAAACAAGAGTATCAGAAAGAATATCAGGTCTGGGTTCTTCCTCACGAGTTTAACAAGCTGGAGTGTGGCAGGGGGCAGCATTGCTCAGCGGTGGATACAGAGACAGTTGTTTCTGGGGGAGGTTCTGTTTCAGTAGTTAATCCTATATTCACACTGATGTAATAGGGAGCATATATGGAACACTTGCTGTGGGCCAGGCTCAGTTTTACATGCATATTTTTAAAATCCTGACAGCTATCCTGTGAGAGTATTGGTAAGTTATTGGTAAGCTCTACTAAGAGCTCAGTGGTCATGAGTATACGCTATGAAATCCAGCAGACCTGGATTTGAATCCTCACTTCACTGTTTATTCTTTGTATGAATAACTTACCAATACTCTCACAGGATAGCTGTCAGGATTTTTTAAATATGCATGTAAAACTGAGCCTGGCCCATAGCAAGTGTTCCATATATGTCACCTATTACATCAGTGTGAATATAGGATTAACTACTGAAACAGAACCTCCCCCAAACCAACAAAATAAAATTTATTCCTCTCTCAGACAGCAGCGTGGGCTTAGGGTTAGGTACTGTGACATCAGGCACCCAGACCCCTTTGTCCTGATGTGCTTCCTTCTATAGAGAGTCGCTTTGGTCCACGTGGCCCAAGATGGTTTACTGTGGCGTCCTCATTGCAGCCAGCTACCATGGGGAAGGCGGGGAGCTGTGTACCTCACTTCCACTCACACTTACTGAAGAAAACTTCATACAATCACACCCGGCAACAAGGGGCAGTAGGAGTGCCTAGGAGCACACTGGGACTGTAGCCTTACAGTTGGAGGCACGTGCCCACTTAACACTGACATCCCATGGCCATGGTCACGAGGCAGAGGCTCTTTTTGTTTGTTTTTTTTTTAATTGAGGTACAGTTGTACAATTTTACATAAGTTTTAGGTGTACAAGATAGTGATTCACAATTTTCAAAGAGGCATAGGCTCCTGGTCATCCCATCCATCAGGAGAAGCCTAATTATGCTGCAGTAACAAACAGTTCCAGTATCTCAGTGGCTCTAAAACAATAAAGTCTCCTTTAGCGCCTCTCTGTGTAGTCACAGTCCACGAGGGATGCAGGCTAAAGGGCACCCACCATCTCAGATGTTCCAGCCATAGGGGCAAAGGGGTGCCGAGACCCCAGAGGGACCTGCACTGCACCTAAACACTCCGCTGTGGAAGGGACGCCTTGCACTTCTGTTCTCCGCTTATTGTCCAGATCTAGCGCACCCCACCCCCAATCCACGAGGAGCCGGAAAGTCCGGCCCTCCTTGCCTGTGGAAGGAAAGAAGCGCAGGTACAGGCGAGCAGCCCCAAGGACCGCTGCCCACATCACCCTGCCTCAGTTCCTCTTGGCCTTGGTTTCTTCTTAGTAAACTAGGGATAAACTAGTAATACCTACTCCTCAAGAGAGTCACAAGGACTCGACTCTTGTACCGCCTGCCTGCCTCACACGAGCCTAGGTTGCTCATGTCGGAGGGTGGGGCGCTGGGGAGGGCCCGGAGCTGCAGGTTCGCTCCTCAGGGTCCAGGGTGAGCCGAGCACGTGTGTTCCCCTTTCAGACCGACTGTCCGGACTTCCACACTGAAAAGATCATCTACGCGGCGCCTGGGGCGCAGGGTGGCACGGAGGTCAGCGTGGAGGTGTACTTCGAGCCCAGCCACCTGGGCGAGAGCAAGGGCAGCCTGAGCCTGTCGTCGCTGGCGGGCGGCGAGTACACCATCCCCCTCTTCGGGGTGGCTCTGCCCCCCAAGCCGCAAGGCCCCTTCCTGATCCGAGCCGGTTACAGCATCGCCATCCCCTTCAAGAACGTCTTCTACCGCCCGGTCACCTTCTCCTATATCGTGGAGAACACCGCGTTCTCCATCCGCGCCATGGACTCTGTGAAGCCCAAGAAGGTCAACAACATCACGGTCTACTTTGAAGGGAACCCATCGGGCAGCAAAACACCCGTCACCAGCAAGCTGATTGTAGCCTGCCCGCCCGACGAAGGCAGCGACACTGGAATCAAGTGGGTTTACTACCTGAAGGGGATCACCCCGTAGTGAGAACCAGGGCTGGCAGCATCATCAAAAAGCCATCTCATCAGCCCTTACGACCTCTGTTGTTCTAAGCCCCACAAAGAATAGAGAAAATAATGAGAACTCTCAAGGTACTATCTCCAATTCAGTTATAAGGGCACTTATTTCCATATTATATAAATTCCAAATATCTATATGAAATACAGATACCCCATGTTTAACACGGTAACTATATAAAACAGAGCTATATTTTACTTTGCAAGAGCAAGTCTCTAAATTTGGTTTCTTAATATACCTACAAAGCCCAGGCACTGTGTAATAATCCCCACGTTTAAGGGTGACCTTCCCTCACATGACACTTAGCAGCACATGACTCTGGGGCCCTGCAGTTTCTTTTTAAAACCCACGATGGCTTCAAGAGCCCTTAGCCATGACTCTGTTTTGACACTGTATTTTATTCTGCTTTCATATGAAAGCCAAACAAGTCACTACTTTCAAAGCAAAGAGCAGATCCATCAAGGCAATTATTGCAGGGGCAGAAGTTGGGGCGCTCCCCCATCTCTGGGTCCCTGATCTGTTTCCCATAGAAAGTTCTCACAGATGGCCAGATCCTGGAGAGATGTAATGGAGACCCCAGTTCCCCCAACCCCACTCAGCTTGCCGAGCAGTGAGTCTCTGCCTAATTCTGATCCAGACCCCACCTCCCCAAATACTGATTTAGTCAGTCCAGGGAGGGACCTGGCATCTTTTTGGCTTGTATAGCAGAGTTGAGAAGCAGTGCTACAGATCAGAACCCACCTGGCCAGTCATGCTGCAGCCAGTCAGGAGTGTGCTTCCAGGGGGACCGTGCCTCAGGTGGATGCGTTTTAGCTGCAGCTGTCTTGTGTGCTCACAAAGGGTGACAGTCTGGTTGGGGCCCTTCTTCAGAGGGAAGGCACCGTGGAGGCCCCAGCTCTGGGGAGAGTACCTCCCTGGACTCTCCTCGGGGTCCTGCAGTGGTCTTAATAGAGCCATTCACCCGCTGGCACCACCTGTTGACATAAAGGTGGTTGAAGACTGGCCCTCAGGCATAGGAGTGGAGGGCCAACAGGCTTCTGCACAAACGCGCACACACACCTATGCCTGAAGATCCCCAGCCTCCACCTCCCCCCTTCTCCTCATCCACTCCACCTTCAAGAGAAGGAGGCATCAAAGAACCTCCATGGCCTTTTGGGAATGGATGGTCCCAAGAGGTGGTGCTCAGAAATGATCCCTGGACCGACAGCCTGAGGATCACCTGGGAATTTATTTAAAAATGCAAGTTCTCAGGGCCGGCCCCAGACCTACTGAGTCAGAATCTCCAGGGGTGTGGCCCAGAAACCTGTGTTTTTAACCAGACCTTATGGTTACTGGAGGTGTTTTCTAATGGACAGAGATTCTCCCACCTCTTTGTACCTCCTTCCGACCCTCAGCCCGTTACACCTGACACAGCTATACCAGATGAAGCCTCTCCTAAAGAGGCTGAAGACATACGCTTGAGATCTCATTTTTGTGACCACTGAAGACCATGCTATAGGAACAAAGTTGAAGAACAAGACGACAGATATTCCCAGTGATTAATGAGCAGCATGCCGAAGGGGCACAGAGTAAGCAGCACGTCCTCTAACCAGCCAGTACAGAGTCCGAAGAAGCCAATGGTTCTCAAACTCAGTATCGATCAGAATGACCCTAAGGACTTGCTGACCCCAGACTGCTGGGCCCCACCCTCAGAGGGCCTGATTTAGTAGGTTTGGGTGGCCCAGGGAATTTGCATTTCTGCCCGGTTCTGAGGGACGCCATCGCTGCCCACGTGGCCAGCACAGTTCTGAAGTCTGGCATCAGTGGCACCTAGGAATGCAGACTCTCAGGCCCGCCTGGACCTACTGAGTCAGAATCTGCATGTTAATGCCCTCCTGGGTGGGGGTGGGGCTGAGTGCACAGTGCAGGGGAGAGCACGGCTGTAAAGGCCCCAGGGGAACTGGAGCCTTTGCCGAGCCCACAGCCCCTAGCTCTTCATTAGAGCCCTGGAGAGAGTCTCACCAACTCTGCTTACAGCCTAGTGAGTGAAATGGGCACCTCCCCCCCAAAGTCCCCCCTCCCACCCATTCCCCAGAGGCAGATCTGGAGGGAGGGGAGCCATTGGCCCATCACCAGCTTCTTCTAAAAGGGTAAACCTTTTCAACACTTTTAAACCCCGTATGATAGACAGTTCTTAAGACTGCAGGAAAGTGGGAGGAAGCTGTGCAGAAGCTAGCTAAAACATCCATGGTCCGAGCGCAGTGAGACCCAAGATTCCTCTAACTGTGAGAGTCAAGACTCAGCTATGTTCCCCTGAGGCTGTGGGGCTCCCAGCCACCCCCCTAGACACTGGCTGCTACAGAAACCGGTCACTTCCCAGTATCACCACCAGCGAAACAGTGCCTTTCGGTGGCCAGGGACAACTCCACGGCTTCAGCCCCGTCCTGCTCCAGCCAGCCACTAAGTCTGGGGCCCAAGCCTCATAGGCCTGGAGACACACCTCCCTGGGACCAAGCACCCAGCCCAGACCCTGCCCCAGCATGAACCCACTTCCAGGATGACTTGACATGGGGTACATCGCTTTCCTGTACGTGGTTCTTATATTTCCTTGGCCTCGAAAAAGGCAACGATGAAAATCATTTCATATTGATAAGTTTGGAATGGCAGAATAGCTCAACTGAGGGCTGGAGGGGAGGCGTGGTGAAAACAAGCATCCTATCAAAAGCTCGTAGAAGTTACATTTGAAAGAACACTTTCTCAGCAAAGCAGACCAAGAGATGTCTCACTGAGGGGGATGCTGAGAAAATATCAGGGCCCAGGTGGCACAATTCCAGAGACCATGGTGCTTGGAAAATGATTGTGAATGCTGCGCCCTGACACCATTCGTTCTACACGGAGGCCCTGGTGAGTATGGCATCCTGGTGAGTCTAGACACTTCTCTGGGCTAGATGGGCCTCGGGTCAGAGGTGATTATATTGTGACATCACGAGGGCCTGCCAGATACTAAGAAATGCCAAATGTGGGATCTCCCAAGCCTCTTAGACCCTCAACATACTGCCCTGACACTCCAGCAAAATCACACTGCTGTTGGCAAAACTGCTTTGTGCAGTTCAAGATTGAGGGTCACTGTCTTAAAGTCTCACAAGCCCCTTCTTGCTATATAATGCCCATAAGTTATGTGTCACTAACCAGTTGTCATCACACATGTGCAGATGAGCTGCAACTGTGAAATGATGGCTAGTGTGTAAGCAGACATACTCATTATCCACTAGTCTGGAGGAGTCTGAGCACAGCAGGCCTGGCCAGGGCCGGTCCCCACGGACAGAGAAGTGAGCACATAGAGAAGGCAACGGAGGCCCTTGGGCTTTGTTCTCAGTATCCCTGCCAAATTATGGGTGAAGAACTTAACTAGCTGACACTTTCCAAGATATCAGAAAAACAACAATAACCATTATTTCCAGGAACTTCTGAACTAAAGGTAGGACAAAACATTGATTTGGGCCTTGAGCAAAAAACTGGTTTCTTAGCAACCTAGGCCAGAATGTGATTTCAGAAGAAAAGAGTTTCTCCTGGTAAAAAAAAATAAACATCTCCTTATTGTTTCAATTATTTAAAAACTCTATCACATTATGACCCATGAGAAATTCAGTTCACCTTTAAGAAAAAGCCAAACCAAACAGCAAAAGAAACATGAACAATTATATTAGATATGGGTCTAGTGGAAATGAATACACACTAGAGAAATAGATCCAAAGTGTTCCCATTGATTTTTTTTTCATGGTTTTACATCAACTATCATCAAAATTCTAAAGACATAAACCTTATAAAAGACATTTAGAAATGCCCTTATCAGTGCTACTTGGTGTCAAGGTACCAGGAGGAAGCTGTTAAGCCATGCATTGTCTTCTGGAGATAAATCTGTATATGGAACAGTTTTCACATTGTTGCTGCACCCACCTTTATTTGTAAGATTATATTGGCAGGGGTTTTAAAAGCTGTGCAGACCCCCACCTGTAAAGGAAAGCACAATTCATGTTTTATAAAAATATATCAGTATTCAAGCCCATGATTTTAAGGCATAAGCAAGGTTGAAACGGTTCTATGAAGACCTACAAGACTTTTAGAACCAACACCCAAAAAAGATGTCCTTTTCATTATAGAGGACTGGAATGCAAAAGTAGGAAGTCAAGAAATGCCTGGAGTAACAGGCCAATTTGGCTTGGGGTACAGAATGAAGCAGGGCAAAGGCTAATAGAGTTTTGCCAAGAGAATGCACTGGTCATAGCAAACACCCTCTTCCAACAACACAAGAAAAGATGCTACACATGGACATCACCAGATGGCCAACACTGAAATCAGATTGATTATATTCTTTGCAGCCAAAGATAGAGAAGCCCTATACAGTCAGCAAAAACAAGACCAGGAGCTGACTGTGGCTCAGATCATGAACTCCTTATTGCCAAATTCAGACTTAAATTGAAGAAAGTAGGGAAAACCACTAGACCACTAAGGTATGACCTAAATCAAATCTCTTGCAGTTATACAGTGGAAGTGAGAAATAGATTTAAGGGGCTAGATCTGATAGAGTGCCTGATGAACTATGGACAGAGGTTCATGACATTGTACAGGAGGCAGTGATTAAGACCATCCCCAAGAAAAAGAAAGGCAAAAAAGCAAAATGGTTGTCTGAGGAGGCCTTTCAAAAATCTGGGAAAAGAAGAGAAGTGAAAAGCAAAGGAGAAAAGGAAAGATATACCCATTTGAATGCAGAGTTCCAAAGAATAGCATGGAGAGATAAGAAAGCCTTCCTCAGCGATCAATGCAAAGAAATAGAGGAAAACAATAGGATGGAAAAGACTAGAGATCTCTTCAGGAAAAT